GCCACTGGCACAGCCCGGGCTCCTTTAGGTACAGGCACATGACTGTAAACTAAGAAGATGTGGAAGGAAATGCAGAATAGTTCAAAGTGCTTACCTCTGGACAGGGAGACGGTTAAATCGAACTTTTCACTGTTTTTATTCCAGCTCTTTCTATATTTTTTCATTAAAGTATTTCTGCACTGCTTGTGAAGTTGGGCTGAAGGTCGTGGAAGCACTGACTTCATCAGTAGAAAGCATGCCACCTGAGGACTCCATTCTCTGAGACCCCTGCTGAGTTGAAAGCTTACTAGGGACAGGTGTGGCTTAAGGCCATCACCACACATTGGGCTGCTAACTGCAAGGTCAGCATTTCAAATCTATCAGCCGCTCCATGGGAGAAAGATGAGGCTTTCTGCCCCTGTAAAGATTTACAGCCTCAGAAACCCTACAAAGGGTCACTATGAGCGGAAACCGACTCCACAGCACACCACCACCACCACCACCACCACCATCATCCATTTATCCACCAACTCATCTGCTTGTTAATGAAAACCTGCATCTAACACTTGAAAAGGGTGACATGATACAGAATTCTTTAAGTGCAGAGCTACAGGTAACTAATTCTAATATTCTAATACGATTTCTTTTTTTTTTTTCCCAGTAAAGGACTTTAAATAACATCGAGAAATTCTCCCCTCATATTTGAAATTATTCTCTGAAAATCTGTTAATTTTTCTCAAAGACAGTCAATATTATAATTAAGCTGGACAATTTTTTCCTTATGTATTCAACATATGGTTTGTCATTAGAATTAGAAATGTTGATTTAAACCATTTCAGTTACAGATACAAAAGAGAATATAAATTTATAGGAGATAAAGGAGCTCTGGTAGTGTAGTGGTTACGAATCGGGCTGTGAACCTCAAGGTTAGCAGTTCGAAACTACCAGCTGTTCTGCGGGAGAAAGATGAGGCTTTCTGCTCCCGTAAAGATTTACAGCCTCGGAAACCCTGTGCAATGTCGCTATGGGTCGGAACCGAGTCCACGGCCCATAACAACAAAGTAAGTGTAAGTCAGGAGATAAAAGGCTCAGTGACCTACTTGCTGCTCCTTTTTAAGGAAGGTTTCAATCTCCGTATGCGTCCGGTTCTCTTCTTCAGTTTTCATCCTTAGCTTCTAGAAAAATCATAAACAAATATCAGGACTTTTCCTTGGCAGCGTTAAAGATCCGAAGTTCCCACGATAAAACATAAGCTAAGTTTATAAGCTTATAAAGTAGAATAACCATGACATGGTACAGGTTTTCTTGTTCAGCTGGACTCCCAGGAATTCCGTGGTATTGCTTTAGAGTTGAGATTCAGATCAGTGCACATCAGCTCGTGTGAACAAACACTGCTGAGGGGGCACTGTGCCCTGATCCCTGGAAAAGGATGCCAGTCTAAGGAGAGAACAGTGCTTCAAGTGCAAGGAAATAGTTGCAGTTTTGGTCTTAGGACATCCCTGGGGAGTACGCTTTCACCTAAGCAGAGGCCTCAGAGGAAGAAGTCCTCCCTCACACATGTGACATGCTCTCTCCTGTGCATCTGCCAGATGTCCTTTTAGCCACTAGGCCTACCTCCTGTAATGAAGGTCTACCCTTTGTTTCTTTTCCTCTTATTTTTCACTGTAATTTCTCAGCTGTATAAATGCTCCTGTAAAGATTTAAATATAAATATAAATTTACATATATATATGATTCAGGGTACAATTCAGGGGCATTGGTTACATTCTTCAACTTACACAACCATTTCACTATCCTTTTTCAAATGGTTCCACCACCGCTAACATAAAAAGTCAATGCCCCTGAAGCAAAACAGGCCTCTCATTCTTACAGGAGAAATAAAAGGTACCAGCTGGGTGAGCAAGCAACAGCAAAAACCTGTAGTTACTGAGCATCTTGTTTTTCCATTTTTCTAAAATCACCAGGAATGATTTTATAAAACCAGGATAAAGTCACCAAGGGCAGAGAGTACAACCAATTTCCAAAGTTGTGATAAGGAAGCAGGAGCTAGATGTAAACTACATACAGCTCATCAGAATCTGCTTCCAGATATGAGGAGTCCTCATTCAGTCTTGTATTATCAACCTCAAGTGTTGGGCTGTGGGAGACAGAGAAGACCAAAAAATCTTCTCCCTCCTCCTTCATTTCTTGTTACTGTTGTTAAGTGCCCTGAGTCGATTCTGACTCATAGCGACCAGTTTCCGAGGAGCAGCTGGTGGATTTGAACTTCTGACCTTGCGGTTCGCAGACCACTGCTGATCTTAGCTAAGCTAATATGAAGAATGACAGTTTTAGTCCGAGCTGCCTGGTTCTTTCCTAATGTGGCATTAATTACCTCAATCTCATCCAGCAGAAGTTCCTCAGCTTTGTTACATTTTTTATGGGTTTGGGAGATGCACAGCTCTGTGTTTTTCTTCATATAACAACTCTCCATGTTGGTTTTGGCCTTCACTTCTTGCAGCTGGTCCTTGAGGTGAGCAATGTATTCATTCTGACTCTGTGGAGGAAAGACCAGTTTTCTAAATGTAAAAAAAACCACATTGTCTCTTCTTTCAGTTTGGGCAGTGAGCTTTGAAGTTAATCTTTTGTATTCATAAATTGACAAGGAACTGGATCTCTTTTTCTGCCATCTGAAAATATAGCACATCAGCAACATACTATGGAAAATTTAGCCAATAATGATTAATAATAAGTGAAAGTGAAAGATAAAGTAGTTCCAGAAATCAGGCCTGTGAGATTCTTTCCTAGGCACACTATTGGGGTATTCTGAACCCACACAGGTAATCGCATCTAACTGTGAGGAAGACCTGACTTCCTACGTAGGTCCCACCACCTTGCAGACTTGGCAAAGCCACTTAACCTCTCCAAGTCTTTCCTTATAGAAAATAGAAACATTAATATCTACTTTGCCTGAAATATCTGAGGCTGATTATTTCAAAATATGTGAAGACTCTTTGAAAGTTACAAAGTGCATTGCAATTTTAAGGTCTCAATATTCATTAGAAAAAGATTCATTCTAAAAAATGTGGAACAAAAGTCTAAATTATTTTTTTTTTAAAAAGGACAGGTTTACTGGTCAGAAAGAGACTGGAGGAACCTAAGACTATGGCCCTCGACCATTCTTCAGGTCTGGAAAGAAATTCACCCTCATAACCCAATTTTCAGTCAAGGTATACAGGGGGGACAACAACACTAGTAAGGGATGCCCACCATGGAGAGGCCCATTATTTAAAATCAAAAGGGCAACATTTACCTAAAGACAGAGTTCAGCAGGGATGGGAAGGTGGGTAGAATGGAAATACAACCACAGGGAGGGGGGGACTGCAATCACTAAGATGAAACAAGTTTATGATGTGCTGAAAGGAAAACTGATGACCTGCTCCAGTCTGCAAACCTTCACTCAGTTCACAATGAAAAGTTTAAGTATCTATGTATATGGTGGTGGTGGTGTGTTGTGGAGTCGGTTCTGACTCCTAGTGACCCTGTGTAGGGTTTCTGAGGCTGTAAATCTTTACAGGAGCAGAAAGCCTCATCCTTCTCCTGTGGAATGGCTGGTAGTTTCAAACTGCTGACCTTGAGGTTAACAGCCCGACTCGTAACCACTATGCTACCAGAGCTCCTTATATATGTATATACAGATATATTTATTCTATAACTAGGCACTCTTTAGATAGTGAAGATCTAAACAGTTATAGTCCCTATTGTCAAGGCGCTTACAGTTTAGTAGAAGAGATGTGGCTAAAAGGAAACAAAAATGTGAACTTTTTTTTTTTTTTTTCAGGGGTTAGGGAAATTTTATTGTGATATTCCATGTTAATTATAATCACACTCTGATGACCTCTCCCAGCCCTATTACTAGGTTCAAGAGAAGAGAAGAAACAGGGCAGGATGTGAAGATTACCCAAGCAAGTAGACCAAAAATATGCTGATGGCACCCATAATGTCCACGTACCAAAAATAAAATTTTGGAAAGCATTTTGTAATTATATTCTGAGGTAGACATCAAGGGAAAAAATTGAGTCTTCTTATTTCCTTAGACATATTTTGCTACTAAGTATAGTATTTATTTAGAATTCTGTTTAGGGGTGGGTGAAGGGTGTACACTCTATCCTGGGTTGTTGTTGTTGAGTGCCATCAAGTCGGTTCCAACTCACAGCAATCCTGTTTTTGGTTTCCAAGAATCAGCTTTATCTCTGGTTTCCAAGAATCAGCCAGTATGATTGAACCACTGACCCTGTGGTTAGCAGTCCAGTGTTTATCTTACAGCCCCACACCAAATAGTAAGGGTGGGGGAGAAGAAATGTTAAAAAAAATAATTTTTCGTGGAGAGATGGAGCTGTTGGGGACTTTAGACACAGAAAGGGAGAGGGGCTGTGTGCTGATAACCGGGGGGCATGCTTGTAGCGTATACCTTTTGGATGGTTGATGATGCATGGAGGGGATTGTAACCATAGCAATGAAATGATATACTGTAGGATGAATGTAAAACCAATGTTCTCCCATGTCAACTATCACATAATTCACAAGAAAACATTAAATAATAATAATAATAATTTTTGTAATATTTCTTATATCCTGTGAGACTTTATTCCAATCATTTAACAGTTTGAACACTTACCATATTTTTAAACAGCAAAACCACAACAGTAATAAAAATCCTCAGAATCGCTTCAATGGCCATGTAATAATACATTGTACTCATATGCAGTATTTCATTCATTTAGGATTTCTTCCTTTTTTTTGCAGACATTAAATAATTATATCTTTGCAGTAAACCATTCCGTAGGAGGAAACTCCGCTCCACACACCTGCTTGGGCCTCTGTAGATGGCACTTCCAAGGAGCCCTGTGCATTTCTGAGAAGTCCATGAGCCGATAGAATGTGCAAAGGTGCTTCAGCATTTCAGGGCTGGTTTCTCTGTTCATGTCTGATTCTGGTGTTTAGGAACAGGGATCCTTGCTGATGCCCAAGGCCCAAAAGTTTCCCTTCTTTGAAGGAAGGAAGCAGACCCAACCTTGATGCCCAGTAAAGAGCAACCCTAGGCTTTTTGTTTTTCTTGTTTTAATCCCTTTTTTGTTGCTGGTTTCATGCTGGGTTTGTTTACAAAAGATATATCATGTTTAACCAAACATTACATTTGGAAAATTTCATATATGAATCTCAAAACAAAACAAAAAATCTTTCTTCAACTGCATTTCATGATAGCTCAATTAAACTTTATCAGCATTTCATACCATTTTCTTATTACATTATAGGCCAAATTATCAATTCAGTATAGGCACACCTTCTTAATAATGCAAAATGCTATGAAAGAAAAGGACTATGGTGCTTGCTTCAGCAGTACATATACTAAACTGGAATGATACAGAGAAGATTAGCATGGCCCCCTGAGCAAGGATGACACGCAAATTCATGAAGCATTCTATAGTTTTTTGGTTGTTTAAATGATTATATATTCCTGAGTGTTTTTGTGTACATTTAAAAAACAAAAAAGACAAAGAAATAGAAGCAAATACTGTTGAATGATGACGCATGGAAGGATTGTAATCAATGCAATGAAATGAAATATGATAGGATGAGTGTGAAACTGATGTTCTCCCATGTAAACTATCACTTAATTCACAATAAAAACTTAAGAAAGAAAGAAAGGACTAGTGGCTATGGGAGAAAATAACAAGGGAGACATATGTTAGATTGGATGGGTTCTCTGAGAAACCCAAAAACCCAAATCCATTTCCATCACAGCTGGGTCCTATAGGGCAGATTAGAACTGCTCCCATAGGATTACCAGGTCTGTAAGTCTTTACAGCCACAGACTGTCACATCTTCCTTCCCCATTGTGGTTGGTGGACTCTAGCCATTGACCTTTATGGACTGCAATCACCAGTGCACCACCAAATCTCCTTAGACTATTCTCAGTAAAGGATGTTTATTGGAAGGATAAGTAAGTTCATGAAAAGGGGTCAAACGGACTTTCAACAAAAAGAAACATATGTGCTGAACTCTTGAGGCAATAAAGTTCTGTAAAATTCCAGGAACTGGAATAAATCTCTAGATTCTCTAGCATAGTGGAGAATGGGACAAATGAGGTTGGCATTGGCATCAATAGGGTTGGTGTCACCCAGTGTAGTAACTCATGGTGACTTCCAAACACCATGGACATCTCTCCCAGACCAGACCTTAGAAATGAGAGAAAATGAAATCTTTCTTATATTATGTGAACGTTGTTGTTGTTGTTATATTATGTGCTTTGGAATCGGTTCCAACTCACAGACACCCTGTATAGGGTTTTCAAATCTTTACGGGAGCAGAAAGCCTCATCTTTTTCCTGAGGAACAGCTGGTAGTTTCGAACTGCTGTCACTGAGGTTCACAGCCCAATTCGTAACCACTACGCTACCAGAGCTCCTTATACTAACAGCAAAATTGTTTGGTAAAATCTTTCCACATTGAAGGGGGATAAATGCAGCAAAAAACACATGAACTGAGATTGGCCACATTCCATGGGCACTTGATGACCTTGAGATGACAGAGAGAAGAGGATGGGTTGGCTGGTGTGGAGTCTATAGAGACGTATGAACTCCTGAGCCCAAGGGCCTAGCCACTGGGAACTAAAGTTAAGAGTGAAGCAACCAGCTTGTCTGAAGAGGAGGGAGACATGCAAGAACACCCAAACTTGCAGACAGTACCCATTTGACCTATCTTAGATGGCTCACTGACCAGAATTCAATGAAGATAAAGAAGTATGATACAGGGCACAAGAGTAAATTGCTATAATCTGATCAACTGGACCTTTGCTTGTGGATGAAACTACCCAAAATTGCAACCAAATAGGGAAGGACTTTTCATATCAAGGATCAGGCATGTCTCCTCAGTACACTGGGTTGATGAGAACGGGCAACATAGACTTTGGCTCTTGAAATCAGGGGGCTATAAAAGCACCATGTGATTGACTTACAAGCTTTTATGAGGGTGCTTAGTGTTAGAATGAGGGGAGTAAGATAGAAACCCTACTGATTGTTTTTTCTCTTGTCCAGATGGATCTGGTGATGAGGGGGACAAGATTTTATGATTCAATTACAAGTAATTGTTATCAGGTCTAATGACAATTGTCACAACTGTAAATGCAGAAGAGGGACAACTAAAAGCAGTTAAACTGAAAAAAATAAGAGACCGGAAAAACATTGTAAGCAACAAAAGCAACAGGGAGTGCTTGCAGCACATGCAGATGAAAGCACATCATTGTAACTGAGCAAGAGTGATAAATTACTGGAGCACAGAAAGTTCCAAAGTAAATCAGAGTAGAGTTTTATCCTCGTAGGGACCTTGATACATACACCTTGGACTTGGGACAAATGTTTTTGTTGTTATAACGGGAAGAGCTGCCTTCTCAAAAGTAGAGTCAACCTAAATAAAGGTAGATGCAGTAAAGCTTTTAGGACCTCATTTACTGGTATGGCAGACTCAAAATGCGAAGAAACGATGGCAAACATTCACT